CATGTGACTACAGGCTACCGTTCTGGACAATACAGATCTAGAATGACCATCACTTTTATGGATGAAGAATCTGAGGTTCCATAAATGGTTGTGGAGCGTCATGGATTCCTATTTTAGGGGTTCTTTCCCTATGTCATGCTACCAAGACTGTATTTGTGACAGAGAGCTTGAGAAACAAGTTTATCAAAGGTGGCAAGACCAATGCAGTTACTGCAGATGGCAGAGTGTCTGAAAGAGTTAGGATGACCTGAGAGGATCAGACAGGTCCACTGATGGTCATTTAAAGGATGGACCATGAGGCAGGCTTTGCACAGGAGGTTGGAGGATGAGGGAGAGTACAAGGGAGAAAGCTGGCAACTAGAGGGGAAAACATGTATGAAATGGAGCCACCTGCCCAGACTGAAGACCCCCAACAGTGTTTGTCTCTCCTACCCATTTCCATCTTGTTTAACCACTCAGGCAGCTGAACTCTCCATCAAGTTTCTGCCTCCACAGCGCAGTCTGGAAGTCATTCGGGCCGTAGGACCCCAGCTGATTGGAATTGGAAAGCACAGTGCAGTAAGTAGGGTACTGGACTGAAAAACATAAATGGATAGAATGGTGACATCTAAACCCAGGAAGGTATGCCAGGTGGTCCTCTAGGCAGCTCAGCATGTAGTTCCGGGAAAGTAGAGGGAGGAGCTCACAGGACTGGGGAGTGGAGGGAAAAGATGGATTCCAGTCTCCAATTTCCCACTATGCAGGCTGCAGAGCTCTATCTGAACCTGGACCTAGTCAAGGAAGCGATCGATGCTTTCATTGAGGGTGAGGAGTGGAACAAGGCCAAGCGTGTGGCCAAGGAGTTAGATCCCCGGTAAACTCATGACCCCTTCTCACTAGGAAATTCTCTTTTACTTCCTTTTTTAAAGACTGAGCAGAAGCTCTTATGGGGGAGGGGGTGGCATCCAGGACCACAAAGTTAGAGATCTCTGTACATCTTCACAGGTATGAAGACTATGTGGACCAGCATTATAAAGAGTTCCTGAAGAATCAGGGCAAAGTGGACTCGGTGAGACTTAAATTTTGTTAGCATGAGGCAGAATGCAGGGAGAGGCTCAAGAAATTCTCCCTCTTTTCTCCTCCTCATGTCATCTTTTCTCCTGTAACTCTTTTCAACTGATCATAGCTGGTGGGTGTGGATGTTATGGCTGCTTTGGACCTGTATGTGGAGCAGGGCCAGTGGGACAAGTGCATTGAAATAGCTACCAAGCAGGTACTGCTGTCTCTTCTTCCCATTCCCAAGTTTTCTTTATATTGTCCCTTGATTCCCCACCTGCCCCAGACCTGTATCTCTCATTACCTCCACCAAAGCCCAAACCCCAAACATCAGCATACAAGTCACCACCCACCCTCACTGCCCAGTCTTACTGATCCCAACCTTCCCCATTCTTTTCTTCCATCTGCGGGACAGAACTACAAGATTCTACACAAATACGTGGCTTTGTATGCGACTCACCTGATTCGGGAGGGTGGCTATGCCCAGGCACTGGCCCTGTATGTGCAACATGGCGCCCCTGCTAACCCACAGGTACCAGACGTTTCCACAGGAAATCTTCCCTTCTCTAGAACTACCCATGCCCTCAGATATTCTCTTCTTAAGGGAGCCTTTCATTAGAGAACATCATGCCTAGAGTCCCCACCAAGCCCCTTCTGAGCTGTACAGCCTCTCTGGAGAATATACCCTTTGAAGAATCACTTGAGGAGCTTCTCGTGCTCTTAGCTAATACACAGGGAGCAGTCTTTCAGAGATGACTCCTGCACACACCTCTAGGGCCTTATTAACTTCCTCCAGAGAATGAACACTACTCCCCTATCTGCTGAGCATCACCACTCTCTGGAATATTAGCCCATTAACATTGTGACTGTGCATTTATATTTGTGCATGTGCCCATAATCACAGAGTACCAGTAAAAGAAATAGTTCTTTTTTTACTCCTCTTCTCCATCATTGTCCCCCAGCTCCTCCACACACACTGACAGCGCTGTCTCTCCTCTCTGGCCCCACTTTCACTGACTTTCTCTTCTAGTTGTCCCCTTCCCACTCAGATCTCCTTTTCCCGTTTCCTGCTAGAACTTCAACATCTACAAAAGGATCTTCACTGACATGGTGAGCTCACCTGGGACCAACAGTGCTGAGGCCTATCATAGCTGGGCTGATCTTCGGGATGTCCTCTTCAACCTGGTGAGGAAGTTGGGTCAACAACAGAGTAAAAAGGCGACTCAGCCTACCCCCATCCCAGTCTCTTCCTTCATGCACATAAACCTTTACCCTCAGATGTATCTTATCTTCCTCTGTCCAAGTGGCCATCAGCTGACCACTGGCACCGGCTCAGCTCTCCTCTGACCCGTTTCAGGCTGTGCTCTCGTCCTTCTCTAGTGTGAAAACCTGGTGAAGTCCAGTGAGGCAAACTCTCCAGCCCATGAGGAGTTTGAGACGATGCTGCTGATTGCTCATTACTATGCCACGCGCTCTGCAGCCCAGAGCATCAAACAGCTGGTGAGATGAAGAGCGGGTAGAAGGGCACTCAGAAAGACGCATCTTCAGATGTATGAATTTGAATGAATTCAAATTCTGGAATCCCAAGCTTGGGCTCTTGAACCTCCTCACTTCTCTTAGCTTCTCTTCTGTCTAACCCTTGCTTATCTTTGACCCTTGCTGAGAGTTTGCTTCCTGTACTGTTTGACCCTGGGGCTCTGTGCCCACATGGCCTCAGTGTCATTACGTTTAACATTCAGATCCCATGATTTCTTTCTTTACCCCTCAAAACCTTCACGTCCCTTTGGCTTATTCACGATAGTACACAGTATGTTTATTTCACGTACTGGGATGACAATTCTAAAAGTAGAAGGAAACTTAGAAATGATCTAGGCCTGGTTCTTACGTACAGATGAAAAAAACTAAGATCCAGAGTGGGTAAGATCCGGAGCAGTTTTTGACTGTTGGTCTTTTAGTTCTGTGGCTGCCTTAGTTATAAGACCCTAAAAAACAGAGCTCATTGGTCTGTTAGCTCAATCACTACAGTGCCAGGATCATGTTTTAACTTTAATCCACAGGAAACTGTGGCTGCCAGGCTTTCTGTTTCGCTCTTACGTCACACCCAGCTACTACCTGCAGACAAGGCCTTCTATGAAGCTGGCATTGCTGCCAAGGTGAGCTGGTTCAGGGAAGGGTGGGGCAGAGGAGGTAAGGGAATATAAAGTTGGGAGGTAGAGAATATCTCATCTGCTCAGGTAGAGTGAAGCTGAGTGTGGGGATGATGTTGTGGAGGACATAGTTCTCCTATTACCCTCTTGTATTCTTCCCCGGCATCTGGAGAAGCGGCATCCAAGCCCAGCTCCTCACTCCTACTTGCAACTTTTCTCTGCCACAGGCGGTTGGCTGGGAGAACATGGCATTCATCTTCCTCAACCGCTTTTTGGATCTGACTGATGTGAGTGGGGAGTTGGGCCCCAGAGGTTGGGAGTTTTGGGATCCGACTAATATGAGTAAGGGGTTGTGCCCCAGAGGTTGGGTGGTTTGGGAACCAACTGATGTGAGTAGGGGGTTGGGCCCCAGAGGTTGAGAGGTTTTGCATGTCACAAGCTGTGCCTATTTCATGGCTGCCCACTCTGCCATAGGCAATTGACGAAGGGACTCTGGATGCCCTTGACCACTCTGACTTTCAGGATACAGATATTCCCTTCGAGGTGCCACTCCCAGCCAAGCAGCATGTACCGGTAAGGACGCAGGGTTGGAGAGCAGGAAGGCCTCACCAGTATGTGAGTGCACTGAGAAGGGAGGACACTTCAGTTGATCCTCCCAACCCTTTGTAATGGGCATCAGTCAGCAACATCTTTGTGCTGCTGCCTTCTTTGCCATCAGCCCTCACTGTTCCTTCAGTGGAAGAGAAGCAGAGTAGAAAGATAAGGCTGTGACTGTGACCACAATCCAAGGAGGTCATTTGTGGCTGAAAGCTGGTGTACAGGATGAGGACTTGGCAAATCCCTCACTCACTTATCACCCACTTGCCCTGCCCTGTGTGAAGCTGCTGTTCCCTCTGTCCTTCCCAGGAGGCTCAGAGAGAAGAGGTTCGCGACTGGGTGCTCACAGTCTCAATGGACCAGCGGCTAGAGCAAGTTCTGCCTCGGGATGAGCGGGGCGCCTACGAGGCTTCCCTGGTGGCAGCGAGCACTGGCGTTCGGGCACTACCATGCCTCCTTACAGGTATAGAACCTTTTAGCACACCATACCCTGTGGTGGGTAGAAAGGAAGGAAAAATAGGATCAATAAACTTTATTTTACTGTTACTTAGTAGGGAGTGCAGAAAATAGGAACATCCTACTTTCTACCAGGTTGCTCTTCATTCTTACCCCCGCAATCCCTCTCAAATTCCAGTTCATCTTTTTTTCTTGCCCCACAGGATACCCCATTCTGAGGAACAAAATTGAATTTAAACGGCCAGGGAAGGCAGCTAACAAGGACAACTGGAATAAGTTCCTTATGGCCATCAAGGTTAGACAGACTTGAAGGATGAGGGCAGGGAGAACAGCACTGGAAAAAAACCCAAAATACTAGAAGGGTGGGTGGGATTGTCAAGAAGGCAGGTGCAGACCCTGAACCCTGCTCCCCATGATAGTGAGCTGGAACTGATTTTCTTTCTGTCAGGAATGTTTTTCAGCAGCACTAGTGTGTTCCTCTCATATTCTTTCCATTTGCTCACAGACTTCCCACAGCCCAGTGTGCCAGGATGTGCTGAAATTCATCAGCCAGTGGTGTGGAGGGCTACCCAGCACCAGCTTTTCTTTTCAGTAGCTGATAGAGCTGAGGGAAGTTATGGCCTCTCCCTCATTAAAGTTTTGTAAGTAAGTGAGACCACTGTATTCTTTGATCAAGGTCACCCCCAACAGCAACCCAGTGCCCTTTCCCCCCAAAAGGAATCATAATCAAGTGCAAAAAGAGAGACATTCTTTATTACAACTGTTTATACTGCCTTAGAGGTCAGGGTTCCCTGCTTAGTGGCAAACCCTTGTGAAGTGAGCCTCTGGAACAGCACCTGCTTGATAGAGGGGAGAACCCAGGTCAGAGGGGAAAGTGGCAGAGTGAAGAACCAGACCGAGTTCTAAGAGCAGTTCCCTGCCCCTGCGTTTACCCAGGCCTCAACCCTCGTAGCCCATTACCTGTCCTAAACCCAACTTTTCTGGGATGTCTGGATTTCTTGATTTTGATCCAGTAGCTGCTCATTTTCCTGCCTTTTACATTTAGGAAGTTCAAGCTCTGTCAGTTCCTCCAGCTGTGGAAGACGGTGGAGTTAGTAACCTGGCTCTGAATTATAGATCAGCATCTTTTCAACCGAGTCTAAACTTTTTCAGCCCTCCTCACAAGTTTCTCAGCTGGAGAGCCCATAACCATTCCTGTTCATCTTCCTTACCTGCTGCTGCAGCCCTTCCTTCCTGCAGGGCCCAACCCCTCGGAGGGTGAGTGCAGCCACACAGCAGTAACCAGACAGAGCAGCCTCCACTGTAGACATGACCAAAGAAGGGATCCAGAGAGCCAAGGCTGTATCCTAAAAGGCAAGGATGAAGGATGGGGACTAACAGAGTAGGGCAGGAGCAGTAAGTAGGGAAAATTAAAAGGGCAGAAGACCAAGGCTTTGAGGACTGCAAAAAGGATGAAAAAGAATATGCTCACATAGATTCTTGTGGGGTCAAAGGGGCAGTCGACATGTCCAGACCCCTGATCCAGTGGTACCAAAGGCTCCAACAGTCCTGGATGGCAGTCAGCGATAAGGCGGCGGCCACCATTGGCCACAGTGAGTGACACAGCAAGGAGGAGACCCAAGGAGCACGCAGCGGACAAGAGCAAGTTCACCAGAGATATGGCCAGCAGGGCCCAGTGCTGGCAGGGGCAGAAGATCAGAGTGAGCAGCTAGGGGTGGCTAACTTTCCCACTGACTAGATACCTCAGTTTCTGACTGAGGCTCCTCATTTAAAGATGGAGCCGAATCACCCCCCATTCTCCACTTCCCTGCGCAGAGGTCTCCTTCCAAGCTCCAGGAGTACCCTCTCACCAGTTGCGGGCGAAGAAGGTTCCGGGATGCCAGGAGGGCCACAAGTCCCACGGAAACACTCTGTGGAAGACATAAGGCCTGAGGCCTCTGCTCTCAGCACTCCCACCCTCGGCCCCGCCCCGCCCCGCCCGCAGCGCTCACCAGCAGCCCTGAGCCCACAGAGATGACATTGGCCGTGGTGTACTCCGGTGTGACGGCGCCGCGGGGATTGGCCACGTGCCGCAGTACGGTGCCGTGCAGTACGGCCCCCAGCAGCAGGTTGCCGTGGCCCACCAGGATCAGCGCGAGCCCCACGCTCATAAGCCGCTGGGGCCCTCGGGCCGCGTCTGCAAAGCACGGGGGAGGGGCGGGCCTGAGCCGACAGACAGGGAGGGCGCGCGGGTCGCGGGTGGCCCCAGGTTAACCAGGGCTGTTTAAGATAGGTGAAAGAGGGTAGTCGCAGGGTAGTCGAAAGGGCCGGAAATTACCGAATATGCAGAAGCGGCTGCACCTCATCCCGCTCCTATGCGCCTCGCCGCCAGGCAGCTCTACCTGGTCCTGGCCCCGCCCCGCGGCCTGCGGCCCAGTTCCGCCCGATTACTACCTGAAGGAAGCCCAACCACCGCGCCCCTGGCGGCGGGCTCAGAGCCCCGCTCCCCCTAGCGGGGAAGGCCAAACACACACGACGCTTTTAGCAAAAAGTAGACTTTTATTACAGCAGCAACTGAGGCGAATCCAATGGCCCCCGAGGGCCACCACTGCAGCACCACCCTTCTCTCCCGCCCGTCTGCCCCAGCGGGATTGTAGAATTCAGCTCCCCAAGTGGCCGTGGGCCTCCTTTCCACACAGGCTGGGCGGGAGCCAGCAGTTCGGCTACTAGCCCCCAGCTAGAAGGTGGCTGCTGAGAAGGCCCAGGCCCACGTCTGTGCAAAACAAGTAAACAAAGTGCAGAGGGGAGGAAGAGAAGGAGCAGGGGGAGGATGATGCTCAGAACCAGGGAGTTCCCCAGAGCCCTCCTGAAGGAGAGACAGGGCTTCACAGGGTAATACTGACTGGGAGGAGGGGGTCAGGAGGGCTGTTGCACATCTAGTGACAGCCACAGCTCAGATTAGGGGCCTGGCCCGAGTGAGCTCTAAGAGGAGACGGTGACAGCGGCTGAGTTGAGGGTGCTGTTTCTGGCAAAATTGAACTTGTTCAGAGTCTCCTCTAGCAGAGAAGTCAGTCGGCTCTGGTCAGCCTGGGGGAGAAGAGCTCAGTGAGACAGGGCCTGAGAGAAGAGAAAAAATGGAGGCAGCCAGGGCCGATGAAGGAAGGAACCTCACCTCACTAATGAAGCCCAGCTGCACCAGCTCAGCTGCCAACTCTGGGATGTTCTCATCTGACAGAGAAACAGGAGGGGATAACGTATGGGAGTGAGGGACAGAGAACCCTTAAAATAGCCCTAATCCGGTTACCCTGGCTAGGAAAGAATGGTACAAGCACAACTGTCAGATCCACCCACCAATTTCAGGGGCTAAAATATTCATTCTATGTGAGTCAATGTGTTATTGCCTTGTCATCTCCGCCACCCTTGATTATGTCCCCCAGAGAAGGCTCATAGATTCTCCATCCTACAAGGGAAAGGACTCACTTGGCATGAGGTCACAGCTCAGGTGCCGGTTCAATTTGTCCTCCAGCTTCAACAGAAGCGTCAGCTGGAGAAGACAGAAAATGAGGCTTCTCTCCCCCTCCATCTAGCCACCCAGCCCAATGCAGCCCTGGCCCTGAGTATTACATGGTGTTTGACTCCGTCCTCCACCGACTCAATGTTGCACTGCATCAGCACCACCTAGGAAGACAGAGCAGAGAGAATCACCACAGTAGAGACCAGTCGGTAAAAAACCCTCAACCCGTGGAAGTCTTTCCAGCTCTTAGGACATGGCTGCCCGGGAGCAGACATATATTCATTCTTTCCTCTAAAGGACAAAGCCAAAATTAAGAGGTCCTCTCTGCCTCCCTTCTACTGTAACCACCAAGACACCCATACCCACATAGCCCCTACCTTGCGGGTCTCCACCTCAGCTGGTTCAGGTGTTGGAGTCTTGACAGAGGGAGGCACCACAGGTGATGTCACCTCCTCCTGCTGTGGCTGCTGGGGCCGAGGCAGCCCAAAGGCTGTCAGGGGGTAGATTCCATTTCTGGTGGGGGATGAAGACAGGTCACATGGGCTCTATGAATGCCTTAGGACACCCTCCCCTGCTTCCTCAATGAAGCTTGTCTTCTCCCTCTTCTCTCACCTGACGTCTTCAAGGAATTTATCCAATTCCAGAGCTGGTGACTGAGAGTACCTGGAAGAGAAACGAGAGAAAAAAAGATGAAAACATGGAAACAAAATAGCAGATTCAACCATTCCCAGAGAATGGACAGTTTACAGAACCCTCAGGGTGGTACTGACCAATCTGTCCCTCTTAGACCCTTCAGTTAGTTACTCACAAAGTCTGAATTGGTTCTCTTCCTGGTCCTGCAAGGATTTCAGCCAGTACAGCACTGGTATCCATATTTTTGGTGATCTCCTCCAGAGCATTCTCTGGGATCATGTCTGGAGGGAATGATGGAGTGGGATATTATGAAAGGATAGTCTGATTAAGATCCCTTAATGCCATAGAAGGCATGGGTTTCCTGTCAGGCAAAGAATCCCTTTGGAAATAGTAAACAGAGCATGCCAGTGATAGTCACAAGGCTCCAGATTAGAAGAAGATTCCTAGCAGAGCCAAGGCAACTCACGTTGGTGTCCCACAATGCAGTGGGCAGCAAGGAGTTTGAGAGAGGGCACCTCAAACAGTGCTGGGTGGAACAGAAGTTCTCTGGCTGTTGGCCTGCAGGCAGGCTCAGACTGCAGGCACTTTTGAATGAACTCCTAGAAAGGGAACAAGGAACTAGGGCAGACATCTGGCAAACACTCCATCATATTCATTTTTATATCTCTCATTTTACACTTAGCACAAGGCTTTGTACATAGTAGGTACTTAATACTTGTTGAGTGAACAAACTGAGAAATGTATCTGAAAGGGCTTTGTATTATTTGAAACATATCATTCAATATCTTTCTGGTTTTAATTATTTTTCTGCTCTCTAACCACAAGCTTTCTTTTTTGTTTACTATCCAAACTTATTTCTTTTTCCTTATTTTCAACCTCTCTGCCCTCATAGCCCACTTACTGCCTACCTTCTTCCCCAACTCTCACCAAACTCAGCTTCTCTCTTCCCAAACTTATCCACTGTGATCAATAATATTCATCATCCTTTTTATTTGCCAAGTCTAGAACCATAATTTCTTTGGTCCACTACAATTGCTTATTGAATCCACTGGTTTCCTCCATGCTTCCCCTAAACCACATCCTTTCAATCTCTCATAGTCCTATGACGATTAACCTGCTTTCCTACTTTCATTCTTGAATGCCAACAAGATCACATACCTAATCTTTTACTTGAATACCCCACCCTAGCACTGAACTAGAAACTTGGTCCATACTAGCCTCATGACTTCCCACTAGTCTTCCTGCTTTTCTCACCTGCTCCTATTATATTTATCTAATGAATTACCAACTCTCGCTTGCACCTTTTCTATCCAGTCTCTACTTATTGTATCGACCCACAGATTGAAAACCCTTACATTCTTTAAATCTTAGCTCATTATTTTAAGATGCCTTCCCTAGTTAAAACTGTATAAATCCCAAATCCCAAATAACCGATTTGATTAATTCATACTGATCAATTTCTTCAAAAATATCAAGATGAGAGTGTATACCAATGGCCTAGGGTAACCATCCAATTAGTTTACCTCCTTGTTACCCAAAAAAAATAACCTATTGCCGTTAAGTCAATGCCAACTCATAGTGACCCTACAGGACAGAATAGAACTGCTCCATTGGGTTTCCACGGCTATAAATCTTTACAGAAGCAGACTGCCACGTCTTTCTCCTGTGAAGCAGCTGGTGGGTTCAAACTACTGAGCTTTTGGTTAGCAGCCAAACGCTTCACCACTGTGCCACCAGGGCTCCTCACCTCCATGTTAAAAAAAACAAAACAAAACAAAAAAACTGTTGCCGTCAAGTCAATTACAACTCATAGCGACCCTATAGGACAGAGTAAAACTGCCCAATAGGGTTTCCAAGGAGCGGCTGGTGGATTTGAACTGCCGACCTTTTGGTCAGTAGCCTGAGCTCTTAACCGCTGCACCACCAAGGCTCCACTTCCATGTTAGACTTACCTAATTAACATACAACCTTTAACCCCACTATTACTCATCTTAACCCCCATGTGTATACCAAAAAAAAAAAAAAAAAAGGCACCACCTAGTGAAATGTTAACTGCTTTTGTCTATCCTTCTGCTTTATGTTCCCTTCCCTTGCTCTTAGAAGAGCACATAGTAGGAAAACCTGAAGATATTTGAAAGTCAGTAAAAGAGGGAGTGATCCTGAAGATCCTTACCCTCTGTAATGGGTCTTCTAGAAGCTGGATGGCACTGCTGATGGCTTCCTGTGGCACATATGAGGACTCTCCATTGCCCTGAATCTCCAGCACTGCCATCTGCAGTGAAGGGGAAAAAGGAAAAGTAGAGATCTAAGAATCTCAGTGGTCCCACAATCACTCCAAGACCAGCACCTTACCTATCCTCACTCCATTTCCCCTTCCCACCTTCTAATCTGACCCTATTTTTTCCCTCCCTTCTCATCTCCTCACCTCCAATGCACACATGCCAAAGGAGTAGATGTCCACTGCCGTTGTCACATTAGTGACTTCTAGGAAGAACAGAAAAGACTTGAGTGAATAAGGAGATTGGAGATGGGAGGTGGCAGAAATGCCTCTTTAAAAAACTCTTTGTATGCTAGTACAGGAGGACTAGAAGTTTGAGTTATGTTACCTCTGGACCTCAGGTTATAAGGTGGAAAAACTGGGAGATGAGGACAAGGTAGAGAAACTGGATGCCTCACCTCCATACTCTGGTGCAAAGAAGTGTAGATTCTTCTGCTCTTCTCGACAAGTTTTCACATGATTGTTGATAGTGTCAGGAGCCACTGGGAAGAGGGGAAATACCCAAAATCTGACCACCATCAAGGAAGCATATTCTCACTCCAGAGAGAGGCCCCCAAAAGCCAAACTCTCCAGAAGTCTCCCTTCTAACCCTCAATAGGCACAAACATATCCCCTTTCCCCTTGTGAACTGCAGACCAAACAGGACCACCACCTACTTGCCCGTTCTCAGGCCTGCTGCATCTCATCTAAGGTCCCTAACTCAGTAGCAACATCAGCTCCATACTGAATTAAAAGGTACATGGGGGCTTGGGGCTGGTCAGGGAGCAACACAGTCTAAAGAAAAACTTGAATTTGTGGCCTGCTCACTTCCCCAAAGTCCAGGTCCATCTAATCCCTGATAACATTAAAATGTTTGGCTTTGTTTTTTTTCATCCACCCTGCAAATATCATAAAAACATAAGCAGCCCTTCCTAATCTGGGACAATCAGAGACCTCAGGAACTTGGATAATGAAGGATAAGAAGCATTAACATACAACCAAGTACACAGCCCCTTTCTTACCCACCTTGGCTGACAGAAACTCAAACATAGCTCAGAATTGAGCCAAGACCCTTGAATAAGTTTCACTTTTAATCCAAGACTTTTTAGACCCCTACTCTACCCTCTTATTCTCAACACTGCCTGCCACAGGCTGAAATGAGGAACCAGGGCTGGGCCCAATTTGGACTCACTCAGATCATAAACAATGACTACAAGTCACAGAGTCTAGGAGCACAGCCTGATGATGAGGGGGAATGAGAATCCAAGAGGTAAGCGGCCAGCCAGGCAGAATCCACAAGAAACAAGCAGGTTATGGAGGGGCAAGCAGGTAGAGGGCTGAGAAGGCAAAAGCTAAGCAGGCATAAGTAGGCAGGGGAGGTAGGGGAAGAGGGGCTTGCTCCCATGACTGCAGGCGCTCAGCAGCCGCAAAGGGGAGCAGAGGGAGTACAAACAGAGCCCCAAGTGGGGCAGAGGGAGCTCTCACCATTAGCAAAAATCCTATGAAAGACTGTTGGGAACAGAGCAGCCCGTAAGCGGGAGGGAGGAAAACAGAGAAAAGTTGTGAGCAATGGAGCAGCCAAGCCCCAGACAAATGGACATGCAGACATCACACAGACACAGCACACAGAAATGTTGTACACTGCACACAGATACACAGCAAATGAACGCACTCACAGCAGGCACAGCCTGGAACCTCCTTTGGTAGGGTCTGGCCCTAGGGGCTCAAATCAGACCTCACACCCATCTCTTGCCCTTTCCCAACCTCCTATCTGTATTAACCCCAGTTTCTCTCCATGAAGGTACAAGATTATACCCTACTCCATCTACTAATTAACTAGCCTCTATGAATTACCACTAACAAGGTACTTTCTCTTTATCACCAGCCCACACCTCATATTTTGCTCCGCTCTCCCCCATTCCTTTCATCTTACCCCCATGGTTCCCAAATTCCCGAGGCTCCCCTGCCCAGAAGCTCTCCCTCCCCTCACCAGAGCCAATCTTGATGAGTCCGTTGTGCTGGATGAAGATGGTGTCACAGGTCAGGTTCCCATGGATGATGGGGGGGTCACAGGAGTGCAGGTAGCTGTGGGGGCACTGGGCTGTTAGAGGGACCACTGGGAAATTAAGGGCAGGGGGAACCCAAGGGTTAAGAGAAGCAAGGGCCAGGTCTCCTGCTGGTCACCACAAAGACAATCCCCACACTCTGAATCTCCATTATGCCTGATAATTTAAATAGTTGGATAAGCAATCGGAGAAAGAGGTAGGAGGGAGAAAGTATTGTGGTTAAGGCATTAGGATGAACCCTCGAAAAGACCTGCAGGGGCCTCATCTTGACAGTGTATGACTCAAAGAAAGTGGGGAGAGGCAGAAAAGAACAGCAGAGTAGTGCCCTGAAATCTGCTTGGAGGAACTAAATCAGGAAATATGGGAAAGAAACTAACCAGATATGATTTACCTTAAGGCAGAGAGAATTTGTGTGCACCAGCGTTTCCAAGCCTGGAACAGAGTTTGGTCCAAGGGTCAGTAGTAATCCCTCACTTAACACCCCACTCACCAGTTCCCTCCATCCCTTCCTGATCAGTGTCCTAATTAACAACCTTTTCTGAACTCTCACATCAGCCTAACACTTTGTCAGCTCTCCCTCCATACCTTTTCATTCATAGTCTTGTGGTTCTTTTTAGTCTTCTTCAGAAATTGCTTAAGACTGCCAGATGACATATATTCTGTGATAAAAATGACCTGGGGAGGCAAAGGATACAAATAAGGCCTTATAATAGAAACGATTCCTTACCTGGTAGCATATACAGCAGATATATATTCAGGAAAAAAAATTTTTTTTTTTAATTTTCTCTCTTTTTGTTCTTAGCATCGCTTCCTTGGAATTAATAGGACAATGAAAGACGACTGTACAGTAAGAGGTATGGCAAGGAGAAAGCAAAAAGTTCATTCATGTCCTCTATAACAAGATTAAAGGCATAAGTGATAGTCAAAGCCCTACTCTCATCTCTACAGTTGTTGATTCCAGTTCTGTTTCAAAACCAGCTTGTTTTACGAAACTAAATAGGCACACCAGCCCAGGGGCAAGAATAAGAAGGCAGGAGGGGACAGGAAAGTTGGTAATGGGTAACCCAAGGTCGAGAAAGGGAGAGTGCTGACATATCACGGAGTTGGCAATCAATGTCACAAAACAATATGTGTATTAATTGTTTAATGAGAAACTAGTTTGCTCTGTAAATCTTCACCTAAAGTACAATTAAAAACTGACAGGGAACACAACAGAGAGTCCCTGATGGAGCAGGAAAAAGGTGGGGTGCAGAACTCAAATTCTAGTAAAAAGCCCAGACTTAATGGTCTGAGACTGGAGGAACCCCAGAAAGCATGGCTCCCAGATTCTCTATCAGCCCAGAACCTAAAACAATTTCCAAGGCCAACTCTTCAGACAAAGATTGGACTGGACTGTGGGACATAAAATGATACTCGTGAAGAGTGTGCTTCTTAGCTCAAGTAAATACATGAGACTAAATGGGCAGCTTCTGTCTGGAGGTGAGATGAGAAGGCAGAGAGGGTTAGGAGCTGGTTGAATGGACATGGGAAATCAGGGGTGGAAAGAAAGAGTGTGCTGTCCCAGTATAGGGAGGGTAATTAGGGTCACATAACAATGTATGTATAAATTTCAGTATAAGAGACTAACTTAAAATGTAAACCTTCATTTAAACTACAACAATAAACAAAAAAATAAAGTACAATAAAAAAAAATCCTACTTTGTTTTAATCTCTGGATATAAAAGGAACAATAAATGTAGCTAGTCTCTGGAGCAAGAAAATATGAGGAAGAGTTCTTACCCTGGCCTTGTTCTCTTTAGTGTCAGCCCAATACTTATGAAACTTAACAATGTTGAGATGTTCCAACTGAATCAGATTATCGAACACAGCACGGACCTTTTCCTGGGAGTGGAGGAGACAGTGGGATAATATCATTCAGAAATCATTGTAATAATCTTGAAAAGTCTATTACATTGCATCCCATTCTCTATCCCTCCCCAGAAGTGATCTAACCCCAATACACCCTCCTCATAGTCAGCTTCCCAAGACCAATCCCACTTTAACACCAGTGTTCTAATACCCCCAAGGCCCCATCTTTTCACCATCACCTACCTCCTGTAGTTTGTAGTTCTTGCGCTCAGAGAACTGTACCTCATTCCACACAACCTCTACACCCTCCTCTGTATCCATGGCCAAGTATGCACTGTCAATACCTGGTACATTCCGCTGATTCACCTGAGAAGAAATTCAAATGAAAAGAAATTAAAGTTACCTCATGAACCCTCCATTTCAATACTCCATTTGATCATCTTTTCTTAGCTCCCATCCTGTTGAAGTTTGGTCTGCCTCTTCGAGTCTTTTCCCCCTCCAGTTCTCACCTCAGAATTCATTCTCCCAAGAGTGATACTACCACCACCTTACCTCTTCTCGCCTCTTCTGCCAGCGACCACAGGGTGACTCTTCCAAGATCTCAGACTCATCTTCACTTTCTTCTTCCTCCTCTGGGGAGGCAGCTGAAGTCGAGGTCACAGGAGGTGACACTGACGTCAGGCCAGGAGCTGAGGATGAGGATTCTACCTTTGGGTCTGAGCCACTGCTGAGTACTATCTGGGATTCCCCCTCCGACATGCTGGAATGATCACTCAGTCCTGCATTGGTTGGAGCAAGAACAGAAGGAGAAAGTAGAGAGGGTCAGGACAGATCTATAAAAATAATCCTAATAACCTCATTCAAAAGAAGGTTAAAAAACACACACCTCCTTTGTTTCCTTTAAATCCAAAATCAGAATTAATGCTACTTTAATACTGAAACATTAACTATTCTCCAAAGTCTAGTCTAGAGAAGGGGAGCTATCTTGGTGGAAGACGACCTACCCAGGAGTAGGAAACACAAGATTTATGGTAGTATGACCCCACCTAGTCAGATCCAAGTAAACAGCAAAATCAGGGGGGGCCCATCCCTTCTCAGCAAATACTCATCCAATAGCCTTCCCTTTCAGAGCACACAAGTTCAGAAAAGATGGCTCTAAACTCCAAAATGTTTTAAAATCCCTTAGGCTGGATTTATCTAGCTGAAACTCTCAGTTGATTTATCCCACTAGAACTAACCTTGGCATTCAATATCCATTCCTCCTATACACAGAACAAGCCTACCAATCCATGGTGAGGCTACTCTTGGTCCAAGTAACTGGCAGTGGTTAGTGACATCATCCCTAATGACATCACCTTCCTACGATGTGAGTGTGGCAAATGAGTATTGGTTAGCAACATTTTTTTTCACTCATTCATTCATTCAACAAATGTTTATTAAGCACTTAATGTCAGCCAAGCACTACGCTATCTGCTTGAGATACAATACTGAACAAAATAAATGAGATCCTCTGAACTCGTGTAGTCACAAATTCAAGGCAGTTCTAAGACTTTAAGTTTCCAGTTTCCATTTCATTCACATGGCTCAAATGTTCCTAAGTTTCCATTCTTTGGGGCACTGAATCTGACATGGTATTTTTCAAGTACAAATAACTTAAGATACAGCCTTTGTAGAAGAAAGTACTGTATAGTATAAAATTTCTCAGGACATGGCTAAGAAAAATTCTTAGAAAAGAATTCTAAGAAAAAGAATCCTTAAAAGCTAAATGTCACTAACTTCCAGAAAGTCCAAAGACAATCACTGAATTTATTCCATACCTCTAAGAACAAATGCTGTGAAGGAGTTGGAACCTGGGTGTGCTGGGCTCAAGGGAGTGCTCTTCAGTATAAAAATATTCTGAAAAGTAAATCTGTTCGTCTAAGTTAGTTCAGAATGTGAGAGTCTCCAACCAACATCAATATTTTGAAAAGTCCACATTTCTTGTTTAGTACTCTCTGATGCTCACTTCTGCCCACCCATACCCTCAACCCACACTACATTCAACCCAAGTCAACAGATTTTTATTAGAGGAAATTTTAGTAAACACCAAGGACCAACAAGGTAGTACAGAGAAAATCTGGTAAAATACTCCTGCTCCATGTTATTTTCTAAGTCCTTGCTTCCTAGAGAGATTTCACTCAGCCAAGCTGGGAAACCATGCCTTAATAATCTACCAGAAAACTTGAGTTAGAGATCATTCTTCTTCCCGTGAAAAGTAGCTAAGAAAATGGTTAAGAAAGTTTGTACTGGTTACTTTCTAGAGCAACTATAATCACTGAATGCATCTACAATCTAGAACAGCTAAAAAAAATTTCCAACTAGATTATAATAGGAAGTATCAGTGGAATTTAGGTTGCGCAGTGGTTAAAAGTGCTGGGCTGCTAACCGAGAGTCGGCGGTTCAAAATCACCAAGGCACAGACAACTACTAATTCACAGTAGGGCACCACAAGAGAAGGAAAGCTTTCATCAGAGACGCCCTAGGATTGTGCTTGTCCCACCCCAATCTCTTCCCAGTAGTGGTTAAGAGCTTGGCTGCTAACCGAAAGGTCGGCAGTTCGAACCCACTAGCCGCTCCTTGGAAACCCTATGGGGCAGTTCTACTCTGTCGTATAGGGTTGCTATGAGTCGGAACCACTCGACAGCAAAGGGTTTGGTTTTTTGTTACTGTTTGCCCCGTGACACTCTAAAAAATGTTTGTTGAATTTACACCCATAGGGGAATCTCCTTGCTGCCTCCAGTTACCTCAAGATGCATAGTATGTTCACTTCTAGCAATGTAGGTCGTCCCACAAAGTTTTTCTCAGAGACTTTCATTTACTGAACTGCAGCCCCTCTGCGTTTCAACACCTCATCAACAGCTCGCGGGCCACGGGCCTCTCTGCTGCCCTCATCCTGAGCGGACCAAAAAGGTCTGAGACCCGCAGGACTGTCCAGTCAGAAATAAAGCAAGCTCTGGAGAAGAAGCCATCTAAATTTCACATTCCAACAGGTCGCCCAGGCCAGTGTCTGAAAGGCAGCGCAGCCCGCGCGGACGCGCCCGGCAGGCCAGAAAGTGCTCCGCCGCCACCTCATCAAAGGCCGGCGGGCGGGCGGTGCCGTCAAGGCCGAGGCCACGCCCCCGCGCAGCCAGCGCGCCGACC